GTGATTTGTGATTTAAATTTTACTAAAATGACACCATGAAACTTTTATTCTTGGTCGTAACAGATCTTTCAGGTTTTGGGGAAGTACTATCATAATCTTAACATTGTAGAGTGGTACAGTAGGTCCCCCTTATTCGTGGCTACACTTTCTACAGTTTCAGTTACCTGCAGTCAACTCTGTTCCAAAAATATAATATTAAATGGAAAATTCCAGAAATAGACCATTTCTAAGTTTTAAATTGCACACTGAGTTGTGTGATGAAATCACTCTGCCCTGCTTCATTTCACCTGGTATGTGAATCATCCCTTTTTCTAGCTTATCCATGTTGTATATGCTACCTGCCCATTAGTCACTTAGAAGTTTGGTTATAAGATTGACTGTTGTGGTCTTGGAGTGCTTGTGTTCAAATAACCCTTATTTTACTTAATGCCACAAAGCATTAGAATCGTGATCCTGGCAATTTGAGTATGCCAAAGAGAAGCCTTCAGGTGCTTCCTTGAAGTGAAAATATATGTATGTTTATGAAAAAACATAATATATATAAGATTCAGTACTATCCAGGATTTCAGGCAGCCGCTGGAGGTCTTGGAACAAATCCCCTGTGGATAAGAGGGGAACTACTCTATTTTAGTTACGTAACTTTTTTCTTCTGGAATAGTTATATGGAAATGTAGTGTAACTGTATCCTTTCATTATTATTTCTATTTGCATTTATGTCATTTGGCTTAATATAGTTTCTATCTAAAGTTTATTGATAATGGCAACATTTGTTTAATTCCTAAGATTTTAAAATAAACTATTATTTTGGCTTAAATATTAGAAATGTTTGGGACATTATTGTTTCTCATTGTATTCTATTTAAGACTTAACATTTTTATGCTTATGTTAAAATATACTTCCTTTGAACATGATTTCGTTGATGTTTTTATTTTTTCAAAATATAGATTCATACTTTAGTAGAGAGTTTGAAGCTTTCTATCACAGATCAACAACTGCCTATGTTTATCCGTATAATGCAACTTGGGATTGCTCTTTACTATGGAGAAATAGGCAATTTTAAAGATGGAGAAACGGAAGATTCTACCTGTCAAAATAAAGATACGTTAGGAAACTTTACAGGTAAATATAATAAAAATTTTATTTTAGACCTATTCTTAGAAAGTGTTTTCATCGTTTAAAAATGCATTTTTGATTTTTGCACTGTTCTCATGTGATGGATGATTTTATTTTAATTGTATGACATCACTTTGATTTTTTTTAAATTTTCTACATGTTGGATACTATTCTGATTTTATTTTTTCTGCGTGCTAAAAATAACCTTAATATTTCTCATAGGTATAAGTGTTCAGAATGTATATTTTATAAAAGTTAAGGTAGTTTAACCTCAAGATTTTAGGATATTATAGTATTAGTAATTTTTCTGCAAAGACTCACCAAGAGTTATTATAACTACTTGTTACATGTACTTAATACATAATTATTATATGTAATTAATTATACTTAACTATATACTTCATTGTAGAATACCTAGTTAATTAATTGGAGTATTAATGAATTATTTTCTTCATTGATGTATACTTAGATACTTAGATTAACTTGTTTTCAATTTATTATTGTTTTAATGAAGCCTAGTGTGTAAAACATTATCGTTGGTAATGTAGGAAAATATAGAGATGAAAAGATGTGTTCTCTTCCCTTAAAATATTAAGATAAAATGGAGTGGACAGACATGTGAACTATTAAGCATGATGTATGGTAGAATAATAGTGTGTTTAATTAAATAGAGGTATGAATATCTGAAGTAAAAAGAGGATGAAAAGAATGATTGACTTGGCAAGAGTCTGAGACTCAGGAGAAATTTGGAGACGATTAATTTCTATACATATAGCCTTTAGAAAAGGACATTTAAAAGTTAGGAACAAATAACCTTATTAAAAAATGAGCAGAAGACCTGAATAGACATTTATCCAAATAGTCAATAAGCACAAGATGTTCAGCATCATTAGTCATGACAGGGAATGCAAATCTAAACCACAATGAGATACCACTAGAATGGCTCTTATCAAAGGGATTTGCATAATAACAAGTGTTGGCAAGTATGTGGAGGAATTGGAACCCTGATATCTTTCTACTGGGAGTATAAAATGGTATAACTGCTTTGGAACAATCTGGTTCTTCCTTCAAGAAATTGAACATAGTATTAGACCATATGACCCAGTAAATCTACTCCTGGGAGAGTTGATAACATATGTCCACATAAAAACGTGTAGAATGTTCACAGCAGCATAATCAAAAGGTAGAAAGAACTCAAATGTTTATCAGCTGGTGAATGGATAAACAATTGTGGTATATCTGTACAGTAGAATAATATTCAGATATACAGAGGAATGAAATACTGATACATGCTGCAACATGACGAACTTTGAAAACATTATTTTAAGTGGAAACAGCCAGTCAAAAAGAAATGTATGATTCCATTTATATGAAATGTACATAGTAGGCATTCCATAAAAGCAGAAAGGAGATTAGTAAACAGGGTGGGGTGGTAGGGAGGAGGGAATGTGGAGTGCGTGCTAATGGGTAGAGGTTTTCTTTTTGGAGTGATGAAAATGTTCAAAATTAGATAGTGCTAATGGTTGCACAACTTTGTGACTATACTAAAAACCACTGAATTACACATTTTTAACAGCCAAGTTTTATAGTATTTAAATTATTGCTTATTAAAAATCTTATCACATTAAAAAAGACTTAGGAAACAACATTAATAGTCACATATAGGTATAAAACATACCTTTATTTCACTCTAGACAGTCAATTCTTGTCAAACAATGAACTCCTGAGACAAGAACAATGTCTAACACCTGGAACAAAAGCTAGCACGTAGGAGGTACTCAATTCATTTTTTTTCCAGCATGCTATTATGACAAATTTCAAATGTAGAGAAAAGTTGAATATTATCCAGTCAACACATCACATACTTATTATCTAGATTCTACAATTAGTAGCTTGTTACATTTGCTTTATCTAACATCTCTCCCTCTTTATCAATTCAACCAATCTTTTTGATGCCTTTCAAAGTAACTTACAGATATCAGTACACTTCATCCCTAGACTTCAGCAGCATATTGTTAGAGTTTGTATTTATTGACTCTCTCTTTTTTTTAAGGTTAAATTTACAAAACGTAATGTCTAAATCTTAAGTACACTATTCAGCATGTTTTGAGAAATGCATACACTTGTGTGACGCAAAATACCCATCAAGATATAGATCATTAACATCTCAAAAAGTTCTCTCATGCCCTTTCCAGTCATTCTCCACTGCCCCTCTGCTCAGGAAAACACTGTTTTGAATTTTTAAAGAAACCATAGATTAGTTTTACTTGTTGCAGAATTTTGTGTAAACGGAATCATACAGTATGTACTCTCTTGTGAAAGTGTTCTTTTTTAAATTAAGAATAATGTTTATATTTTTAAAAAAGGGTTAAGACTTTATTTTTTTGGACCTGTTTTAGATTTACAGCAAAATTGAAGGGTAGGTATAGAGATTTCTCATATACCTTTTGTCCTCACTCATGCATAGTCTTCCCCCATTACCAACATTCCTTCCAGAAGGTGACGCATTTGTTGTGATTGATGAGCCTTCATTGACAGATCTTCATCACCCAGAGTTCATAGTTTACATTACCATTCACTCTTAGTGTCTTAAATTCTCTGGGTTTGGACAAATGTATAATGACTTGCATCCATCATTATGATATCATACAGAGGAGTATTATCACTGCCCTAAAAGGCATAATATTTTTGGGTTTTATGTTGTTGCATGTATCAGTAATTATCTCCTTTTTTATTGTTAGGTATGTTGTAGGAATATACCGTATGTATATACCATAGTTTATTTGGCCATTCCCCTATTGATGGATACTTGGGGATGTTTCCAGTATTGGCTAATATAAATAGCCATAAAGCTGCTCTGAACATTCTTCTGTAAGTCTCTTGTAGACATGTGCTGTTCTTTCTCTTGGGTAAATACCTAAGAGTGCAATTGTATTTTTAGATTTTTTTTTTTTTTAAGGAAACTACCAGACTTTTTTCCCAAAGCGATTATGCCATTTTACATTCCCATCAACAGTGTATGAGAGTTTCAGTTGCTCCACATCCTTGTCAACATTTGGTGTTATCAGTCTTTCTTTACTTTTTGCCATTCTGATGAATGTGTTGTATCTTGTTTTAAGTTGCATTTCTCAGCAATTATTTCGAGCTTTTCATTGGTTATTAACATTAATATGTCTATCTTTCTGAAGTATATGTTAAATATTTGCCTATTTTTAAACCTTTTTGAGTTTCATTACTGATGTGTAGGAGTTCTTTATGTATTCTAAATTCAAGTCCTTTGTCATATACATCTTTTGGGAATTTTTTTTTGCCAGTCTGTGACTTGCCTAATTCATTTTTTAAAGGTGTCTTGAGCAGAAGTTTTAAATATTGTTGAAATATAATTTTTAAATATTTCCTTTATTACTATTGTTTTCTGTGATCTAAGAAAGTGACTAGGTTTTTCTTGTATGTTAAAAAGAACGGAGAAAGCAACTCTACTATTTGCTTCCAGAGGAGTCTGAATTAGTTTTCTCATCTTTCTAAACCAGAGATCCTTAATCATTTTTTTTTTGTGTGTGTGTGCTATGGATTCCTTTGACATGCTGATAAAGTCTATGAACCTATTCTCAGAAGTTTTCCATCATGTTAGTTTTGATATGCCCTGGTGTTATTTTTTCATGTTATTTGTGCTTGGAATACATTGAAGTTTTTAGATCTGTGGGTTTATAGTTTTCATATATACTTAGAAAAATTTGGGACTTTATTTCTTCAAGTATCTTTTTAAGTTCCCCTTTCTCTTCTTTCAGGGTCTCCAATTACATGGATATTAAACTACTTGAAGTTCGACAGCTCTTTGATGCTCTGTTTATTTATTTTTTTTACTTTTGTTTCATTTTTGTTAGTTTCTGTTTCTGTTCAAGTTTACTAATTTTCTGTATCTGATCTCTTGTTAATCCCATCTAGTTTATATTTCATCTCAGATACTGTACTTTTCATCTTTAGAAGTTCAGTTTGGATTTTTAAAAAGTATATCTGTCATCTTTTTTTGTTTATGCTTTCTCATGTATTGCTTATTATTTATATAGCTGTTTTAATGTCCTCGTTTACTGTTGCTGTGAATTGTGTAATTCCTAGGTCTTTGTCTGTTGACTGACATTTTTTCTCATTCCATGTTACGTTTTCCTTCTTTACATGACCAATAAATAATTTTTAATTGGATACCAGATACTGTGAAAATTTCCTGTTGAGTGCTGGATATTTTTATATTCTAGCAAACAGTTTAGTTACTTGGAAACAATTTAATTCATTTACATTTTGCTTTAAAGGTTTTTTTAGATGAGATCAGAGCAACCATGAGCATAAGCCCAGTTTTGTCCCAGTTTTGTTGAGACAATTACCTTTTTGCATACTTTGCCTGATGCCCTCTGAATTAGAAGTTTTTCTTTCTTGCTGGTGGGAACAAAAACTATTCTCAATTCTGTGTAAGCTTGGGGAATGTTTGCTTTGCTTCTTTCTGGTGGTTCTTTTCATGGCCTCTGTAGTTTCCTTACTTGAAACTGATTAATACTCAGCTGTAGACTGGAGTGGGACCCTCTGCAGATCTCAGGAGGTCTTTCTTGTTTGATACTCTACCCTAGGCATCTTCATCTTCCTGGACTCACTACTCACCGAAGTAGGCTCTTGAGGTCTGCTCAGATTCCCGCTTTCTTGGCTTTGACTTTAGAAACTTCTTCCAGGCAGTAAACTGGGTCCATCATAGAGCTCATTTCTCTTGTTTCCTATCTCTCATGACTCATGTCCTTAAATCATAATTTCATATATTTTATCTTTTTTGTTGTATATTTTTAAATGTGCTTCTATGTTAACGTATTAAATAACAAAATATGGCAGGAAATCTAATAGCTATCCTCATTTCAAAGTAGTAATGTGTGTAAATGAAATTTAGAGATAGCTTCACAGTCATTATTTGTTAAAACTGACTTCTGCATAATCTTATTAGAATTGAAGGTACTGCTGATACGATTGTGATTTGTTACAGTTTACAATTAAAAGAATGCTACATTTTAGTTAAATAATTAATATATATTTTTCTGTTGAAATTCATGGAATTCCTGAATTCTTTCAAAGGGCTCCAGGTTAAAATGTACTATTTCAAAGGAAAATAATATTTTAGGAAATTCTGACCATAGATCAAGGAGATGATTTTTTCTTTTCAGACCCTAATTCATTCTTTTACAAGGCAGTGAACAAAGACTCAGAACTTCAAAAGCATCTTTCATCAAAATCTGCCTTATTTTTTTACTAATATTAAGTATTAATTATGGTGACTGGTTTCTCAGACCTCTCTTAGTGATGTTTCTTTTTTTTCAAAAGATTAAGCAGTGAATGAATACTTCTGTTTTAGTGAGTTAGGCAAGAAGTGTCAAGTCCAGCTCTGTGGAACCAACCTGAGTTGAGGTGGCCAGACTTAAAACCACGATGATATTCAGTAATGGTCTCCAATTTGCGATCTTATTAGGGATGGTTAATGACAGGCTTTATTTAGTTCTCAATAGATATTTATATAATGTTTATGCTCAAACAGCTGGATAATAAGATTATGCAGAACATTTTCTAGATTTGCAACTTTTATCATTTATTTTGAAGTAAAATGGCTAAGGCCTCTTGGTACTATATTTTAGTACTATATTGTAGGTACTCTAATTACTACTTATTAAGTCTTTTCCTTTCCAGATGGAAGAAGGTAAATGGCCATGTATTGTAACCTGTAAGTGTAGGATGCTCTAAGAGTCTCCTTTCATAGGACTAAAAAAGTGAAATAGTTTTTCTAGCAAGAAGAGCTAGAAGTGGATCTGAGTGAGGATGATATTTAATAGTGTGCATGTATTTATAGATTTATTACTAAAGAGTAGATATGCTTGAATTTGCTGGAGGCTTCTTATACCATATATATTTTTTAGCTTCTTATTAGTTTCAAGTATACAGTGCATTGGTTAGACATTTATATAGTTTTTAAAATGACCCCCCAATTTCTGTATCACCCTTCTGGCTCTACACATAACCATTACATTACTATTGTCTGCAATACCGTGCTCCCCATCTCTGTCACCATCTATCAACTACTATTTTGTACTTTAATCCTTCCCAGCTTTCCCTCAGTCTCCCAACCCTACTCCCCTCTGGCCGTCTCCAGATTGTCCTCTATATTCGTGAGTCTGTTTTTGATTAGCTTGTTCTTTTTATTCCTTGGATTCTGCATATAAGTGAAATCTTATGGTATTTATCTTTCTTTGACTTATTTCACTCATCATAATAACCTCTAGGTCTATCCATGTCGTTGGGAATGGTAGGATTTCATTTTTTTATGGCTGAGTAATGTTCCATTGTATATATGAACCATAACTTCTTTATCCAGTCATCTGTCATTGTGCATTTTGGTTGTTTCCATATCTTGGCTATTGTGAATTATACCTAGATTTTTTAAAAAAAATTTTTTTCTCTAAAGTCCATGAATATGACTCTTGTTTGTATCGTTAGGATAATGTTAAGAGAATTTGCTGGAATTTATCTTTACAAAGCTAGAATGAGTTAGACTGGTTGGAATTTAAATCCTTAGTCTGCCAATTTGTAACCCAATAAAATTGTTTTGCTATAAGTTTTCATCTGTAGACTAGGAGAGATCCTAATTTATATTACCCACTAATAATAGTCATCAAGACTATTATTTTTCTCAACTACATGTAAGAATAATTTCATTGTACATTTACTTTCATCTTTTGGGATAATTCTTTTTTTAGGGTGTGCATTCTGCCAAGGAACACTTGCCAGTCTCTTTTTTTCATTGAGTGCATCAGGAAATAAATGAATTTTCTTGGATCTTTCTGATATTATATTTCCGAGAGAAGTTAGTTGTTTTTTTTTTGTTTTTTGTTTTGCTTTTTTTTCTTTTAGCACTTTAATCTTATTTTTGAGATGTACTTTTTATTATTATTATTGTTTAATGAATAAAATGCCAAAGGATGAATTTATTCTTTGTATTTATCAAATCCATTTAAAATTATATGATAAACTACTTCCTATATAACGTTAATTGTGGCCTTTGAAAGGAGATTGATACAGTACCACATATAGAAACTTAAAAGTGGTAATGTTAAATTATTGGCTTCAAATAATAATAACCAATGTACGATGTCGTTATACTTTACAGGTAGAAAGAAAGATGTGCAAGATACATTTTTATAGAATTTACCTTCCTAATTTTCCACTTAGTTAAATCCCTTTGATTTATTTAAAATGACTTTATTTTGATGATAGGTGTTGGAGATGAAACAAGAATAGATATGCAGTATAAAGGCCAAGAGTTGTATTCACAGCAAGAGGATGAACAACCACAGGGATGGGTATCATGGGCCTGGTCCTTTGTGCCTGCAATTGTGAGTTATGATGATGGTGAGGAAGACTACCTTGGGATTGATTCTCCGTCAACCACGCAACAGCAAAAAGCACAGACTTTGAAGGATCCTATTGTTTCTATAGGATTTTATTGTACAAAGGCAACTGTGACTTTCAAAGTAGGTTTTCTTTTTCTTGCTGTTCTTGTCTCTCTCAACTTAATACTTAAATTTTGATTTTGAGCACAGATCTAGCTTAAAGTTTGTTTTACCCTTAGTAGGGTTAAGATACAGTCTAACAATTCTTACTTTATAAAGATATGTGTCCCCTCATCTGAATTCTCTCAATTTTGATCTCATCTTCTTAAGGCCTTCTCTATTTATTTTTTTAAATCAGCTTCATGGAAAGTTTTTCTTTCTCTACTAAATCTTTAAATTGGCATACAAAGATGCCTTAATATTTTCATTAAAAAAGAAATGCACATAAAAAATCTCCTTTGCATTCATGTACCCTTCCAGCTACTGTTTCATCTTTGTACTTTCATTACTGAATTTCTTTAAAAGAGTTGTTTATATAAGTTTCTCTCTTTCCTCTCTTTCACTCTTTAAGACAGTCCAATTTTTTATCTAGGTCCTCATCTATTTATTTTTTTGCAGTGTTTAACATACTTTGACCACTTCATTTTAACAAATACATGTAAAATATATATTCAGAAGAGATTATACAGTAGTTATTTTCAGGTTAAAGAATAATAAACTGACACCCTTTTATTTTAAGAAATAAAATTACTAGTACTTTGGCACCTCTTATATGTTCTTTTTTGATCATATTTTGTCTTTTCTTCCCCTTGAATATAATCCAACCTTAATTTTAGGTTATTTATTCCTTGGCTTTTTATAATAGTTTTACCACACATGTAATATTCCTGAACAGTATTTAATTCATTCAACAAATATATGTTAATACCATCTGTGTGCTAGGTTTTGCTGTGACTGTAGAGATACCACAGATTGGATATAAATCCCTTGTTCTTAAAACATGAATTGTTATAAGTAAATATGGAAGAAAGAAAAGGAGGAAAGGGAAGGAAAGGAAGGAAGGAAAGGGAAGAGGGGAAGAAAAGGAAAGGAAGGAAAGAAGGAAGGAAAGGAAGATAGGTATAGTATGCCCATTAGGAGGGGAATAGTTAAGCAAAGATCCATCCATGAAAGAGGAAGCTTTATAGATATGTGGCAGTGAACATTCTAGGAACAGCAATGAAAGCCCCCAAAGTTCAAGGAACAGCAAGGAGTAGTAGGGCTAGTAGTAGTAGTAGTTGCGCTAATGTGGCAGTGTAGTGCAAAATCAAGTCAGAGAGGTAATGGGGTTGGGAGAAGAACATACTTATAATACCATGTAGGTCATTTTAGGGACTTTTTCATGAATCTAGAGTGCAATAGGAAGTTTTTGGATGATTTTTAGTAGTTATAGAATGATCTGAGTTATGTTCTTGACTGCATCACTCTGGTTACGGAGTTGAAAATAGATTATAAGGGAACAAAAGCAGAAGGAGAACAGAAAGGATTGCAGTTTTCAAGCAATAGATGATGTTGGCTTGGATTAGGGTGGTAGCAAGTGGAGGTGGTAAAAGTAACTGGATTTTGGATTTGTTTTGAAGGTCAAGAGGACAGAACTTACTGATAGATTTTATTGCGATATAAGTGAGTAAAGAGGATCCAAGGATGACTTCTGCGTTGAGTTCTAAATTTTCTGAAATGAGGATTGTGAGGAGATTAGATTCGAAATAAATATCAGGAGTTTGATTTTGGACAAGTATAAGATGCCCACTATACACATAGAGCTATCTGGTTGGATTTATGAATCTGAAGTTTAGAAATTTGATCCGAGTCTGTAAATTTGAGTGTCATGATTTTATTAAGACTGGAATCAGTGTAGATAGAAAAAAGGAGTGATTCTAGGATCAGGCTCTGGGGCACTGTGATGTTAAATATTTGGAAAGATGAGGAAGAAATAGCTAGGGAAACTGAAAATAAGTGACCAGTGAGTGATGTAGGCAAAAAACAAGTAGAGAATGTCTGGGAGTTAAGTGTCCTGCATATTTTAAAGTGGAGGGAGTATGTCATTTGTGAGAATAGATCATTGGATTGGGCAATATGGAAATTGTTGATGATCTTGACCAGAACTGTGATTTGACACCAGTGGAATCATACTTAGTTGGAGTTGGTTAAAAATAGATGGGAAGACTGGTGGGAATGTAAAATGGCACAATCACTGTGGAAAACAGTTTAATGGTTTCTCAATAAGTTAAACATAAAATTATATGATCCAGCTATTCTACTCCTAGCTATATACTCAAAAGAATTGAAAACTGTACTCAAGTAGATGTACATAAATATTAATAAAAGCACTGTTTACAGTTGTCAGAAAGTTAAAACAGCCCAAATTCCCATCAACAGATGAAGGAATAATAGCCTTTTCAGAAAATTGTAGATATTCTTTTTATTGTATACCAAACTCAGTAAATGGTAATTTTTAAGGTTAGTTGTATCTCTAGCTCTTGGAAATTGCCTGGTACATATTCAACAAAGAAATATCTGTTGAATAAATCCATCCATCTACCCATCTCATCTGCTTTCTGTATTCTAAAATTTTTCAAATCCCCCCCCCCCGACTTTTATCTGTCCAATTTTGTCTTTGCTTTATTTTTTTCATGGAGGCATTTTTCTGAAGGATGTAAACTCAATGTGTCTAACCTGTGAGGTAGTATTACACATATTTTTCCAGGCAACTTGTTAGATACTGGAGATATAGTAGTGAAACAAAACAAAACAAAACTAAGTTTCTCATGGTGTTTTAATTTTGCTTGGATTATTTGTTAACTACTTGAAATAAGTTTTTTCAATAAGTAAAACTTTACAATTTATAACTACAGCAGATGGTAGATAAAATATATTTTTTCTTTTTTATTTAGATTAAAATTATTTTAAAATAGTCTTTAATAGTCTTTAAGGAGTTTTCTAATTAAAATTTAGCATTTTCTAATATGACGAAAGCTGAAAAATACAAAGAATAAGTTGCAACAGAAGTTCAGTCATGGCATGATTGATTTAAAAGATTTTTTTTTTTTTTGCTCACGAAGTTTGGGAAAAAATAACAAATGTATACATTAGCTGTGCTCTTTTAACACCATAATTTATTATTTTTGAACACTTTTACCAAAACAAATTGTTTTCTTATTTTATTAGAAAATTTTAGGTGAAATTTACTAATTTGCTTTTGATCAAGCTAAAGGAATATGTATCAGTCTGGATTATTTAAAATGATAAAACAATAAAATATTTAAATATAATAAAAAGCCAGCTGTTGCCAACTATTGTACGATATATTGCCAGCTTTACATGACCCAAATTAGGAAGTTATTTTTAAACTAAGTTGGTGAAAGATGTTAAGGATTGCTAGTAAAGAATTTTCTGATGATTTTTGCCTATTTTAAATTTGAAATTATTCTGGTATGTTTCTATATTTCTATTAACTTCATTGATGAGAAGAATTGTATTAAACTGAGTCAGAATAGGCATTTATATATAAAACATTTTATAGACTTCTGAGGCAATATTTGTCATTAGTTAATAAATCTTTTTAAAAGTTTGAAACATTTATGTCTTAGGTTTCTCTAAGGAAATGTGTTGATATTTAGGAGGAAAACATTAGAATTCATTGTTGAGCTTGGATTTGAAGAATGTATGGAATTAATTTGTGGTTTATATTTTGGTCAGAAAATAAGGTCATGTTTCTACATTAGCATTCTGAACAGTTGATATGAATCCAACGAAAATCATGCCAAATTAAAAGGAACATTTAAAATATAATGTTGAAAATTGTTCTTGTAATGTCTGAGTCCTTTTAATCAATTAATTGCTTTTTCTCTGCAATAATTGTAGACAGCTGAAAGGTGATCAAGTTTAAAATATTCAATTTTACTTAAGCATTTTAGATTATAGAATTGTAGATGAAAACTGCAACATGTGTGTACCAGTCCTGGAAGCATCCAAGAAATAAGGGCTTATATAAAAAACTTTTTGTTGTAAAAAAATGAGATTTATTACTTGATTCTCAGTATAAGGAGGTTGTCATACTTAAAATCATAACTTTTGGTTCATTGACTTCTATTTGACCTAAGTTATACATATATATTTTAATGTGATCTTTGACTTTACATTTAAGTTTGAAGAATGTATATTCATTTTACAAGAATAAGGGTCACTGAATCATTGCAAACATGAGCAGAAAACCAGTTTTTAAAAATAACTATTTTGGAATAGTTGTAAAGATAGTACAGAAAGTTCACATATACTTCTTACACTGTTCCCCTATTGTTAACCTCTTATGTTTTCACGGTACATTTGTCAAAACTAGGAAGCCAACATTAGTGTATTACTGTTAAATTCCAGACTTTAATTGAATTTCATAATGTCCTTTATCTATTACGTGATCTAAACCAGTATACCACATTGCATTTAGAAAAATACCTTTTAAAAATATTTTAAATTAGCTAATTTTTGGATAATTACAAATAATATGTTGTAAGCTTCAGGGGAGCAAGAATATTTTTTTCTTTTGTCAGCATCTGGGTTAGTACTTGTTATCTAGCAGGCACTCAAGTAAGTATTTGTTGCATAATTGGATGAATCTCTGAGACACACACTTTGGAAATAAACGCCCATGAACCTACTTCTTTCATAGCACTAGAAAGAGTTTGTCGAATCTATTTGTGTTTCTTCACAGCATTTTTTTTTAAATTACAAATAGGGGGAAATCTTGAAAATGATTGAACTAAATCTGATTGAATATGTTAGTGAATATAAAATGAAGTTAAAATATATGTACAATTTTGGTAGAATATAGGAACCATTTTATGACTATGGGACTGTTATAGCTGCATAGCTTTCACCTTTTTAAGCAATAGTATTAAGAAAAAAGTTAAATAAAAATAAGGTGGCATTTAAATTCTCTGAGCTTAGACTAGCATATTCAACCTTTATACCATGGATAATCTGTTATAGCTGTTTTTGTTCCACCTGTTTTCTTGCTTAATAATTAAATTTCCCGAATCTTAAAATTAGGCTCATTTCCGTCAATTCATTATAATATTGACAATTTATTGCTATTTAATACTAATTTGACTTACTTAATATTCTTATACTGTTTTTTAGCTCACTGAAATGCAAGCTGAGAGTAGTTATTACAGCCCTCAGAAAGTAAAGTCTAAAGAAATATTGTGTTGGGAACAAGAAGGAACTACAGTCGAGGTAATGTTTCAGCATTGAACATATATTTGTAAAATCTTTTAAATGGTCCTTAAAGTTAATATTTAATAAATGCAGGTTTTTATCATAAGTGGTATGTTTAAAATACATTTATAGTTTCATATTTCTATTTTAATAGTAGTATTGGTTGAAATAATTATTTTAACAAAGATTTTACTGTAATATGCAACATTTTTTCACTTAACATGTATGTGCTCATATGTATTTGTGGATTAATGTTTATGAAGTACCAGTTATTGAGGATACATGGGCAAGTAAGAAGTTTCTTACTTTATAGGGTTTATGATCTGAGGAGAATAAATTTGGAAAGGTCATACTCCTAAAGATGTTTCCACTAATTTAGAAATTCTACAAAGAGAGCCTATAACATTTTTATGAAATTCAAGTTTTTAGTTCCAGTGTTTCCTTTCCTCTTATAGGCCCTAATGATGGGAGAGCCTTTCTTTGATTGCCAGATTGGTTTTGTAGGTTGTAGAGCCATATGCCTTAAAGGAATTATGGGTGTTAAAGATTTTGAAGAGAATATGAATAGAAGTGAAACCGTAAGTCAAAAAATTTTTCTTTTTCCCGCCTTTTTTTTTTTTTTTTTTTATGGGTAGAATGTAGGGGTAATGAAGTGCTTATTGAAGTGTTTAACCATACCAAAAAATCTGTTAGACTACATATATCTTTGGCTTAAGAGAAGAACTTTGCTGTTTTCCCTGTAAGAAATTATGGAGCTCAAGGGAATTTAGAAAGTTGGTAGCATTTAACACCTGGACAGTAGTTCCAAATAGTTTCCAATTCATAAATGTTTCTTCTTTCTTGTTTATGGCAGCTACTTGGAGTTCCTTTTTAGTTTCTTAAAGTGTTCTTTGCCAAAATAGGCAGTGAAAATGGAGACAGCATTGCTTGTATTACAGGACTGTTTAAGTTGTAGTGATTTCTATTGACTGCCGAATGAGAGAAAACCAAGGTTTTATTTTCTTTAATGGTCTAATGAGTTTTTTCTCCTGTTTAAAATATTTGCATTTATTTTCAGGAAGCCTGTTTTTTCATTTGTGGTGAAAACTTAAGTATGAAAGGTTTGACATACCTTACAAATTCATTGTTTGATTACCGAAGCCCAGAAAATAATGGTACTCGTGCAGAATTTATCTTGGACGGAGCTCATCATAAGGTCAGAGAATATATATTTGAGCCAACTTCTAGGCTGTTTTTGGGTAGACACTATATGAATACTTGTGATTGCCATCTTCTTAAATAATATATTCTTAATGCTATTTATATGGCATTTAGAATGTTTTCATCCAGCTTCTACATCTAGGGAGGTTTGAAGAGTTCACAAAGGTTTCTACGTTAGTATGAAGCCACAGTTAGTGTGTATCCATTCCCTACTGTTAAAGTAGTCATGGAGAATACATATAGAAATATTTCTTTTAATTTCAGTTACTTTTGGGTTGTGGGATTTATGGGAAGAGATGAAGAATTTCACATATTACTATGTATATATCTTACTGTTTGAATTTTTTCTATAAGATTATATTAATGTATTTTTTATGGAATAAATTTAAAAATTCAAAAAGTTACCTGAAGATTAGTGTAATAGAATAATTTACATTTTAACCCTCTTCATTACAGATTTGCTTTTATAGTTAAAAGTAAAGAATTTAATTTTGATTTGCATAATTAACATGTGTTTAAATATTTTAGTATATCTTTAGTGTTTTAACTGTTCCATAAAAGTGCACTGAAATATTCAAGGATTAACTCTGTTAGACAGTTCTGTGATGGTAATAAAGGTAAAGAGTTCATTGTCCTGCTTCATTAACCAGACATTATTGATAAAGTGGTCAAAATATTTAGTAGAATTATGGATGCCTTTTTGTGTGTTCTGTAATAGAGTAACATTACCTTTCTTAGAAGTGAATTCTTTGATAACTTTTTTTTTTTGGTTTTGGTTTTGGTAATCCTTTGAGTTGATACACAGTCTATATAAGGATGTGTGTCTGATTCTTGACATATTTATTAGATTTTAAACTCAGAATTCTCTTCTATACAAGGTGTGTTCTGTTTGCTTTGTTGGCAGGAGACATATACTGAGATAGCTGGAATGCAAAGATTTGGAGCTTTCTACATGGATTACCTGTATACAATGGAGAACACCAGTGGCAAAGGTACTGGTTTCTTTCATGTTTGCTTTTCCTCGAACAACAGAAAGAAATCTGTATGAGAATCAATTAGTCCTTGACTGGTTGTACTCTGTTACATTAGGTTTACCTTCTGTTACTTTTTGAATTTTAATGTCATGTTAATTTTCTTAGATTCTTGATATTTTTAATCTTTTCTTTGTGAAGCTGATCGAAAAGACATTTTGTATAATCAACTAGAATTCTCATATGTATCAAATACTAAAATTTTAATATGTCAAATTTTTCATTACATTAAGTTGTCAAAAAGAATAAACATTTCTGTAGTAAATACATTTTGAAGGTTATAGAGATCTTTTTATTTAAAAAAGAATTTGTTGTTTTAAGCAGAAAAATAGAAATAAATTCTTTTAGGAACTATGGAACCTAGTCTTTTATTATTTTATCTTTTATTCTAATTTTATTATGTTTTAGAAAATTTAACCATTTGACATTTTATGTGCACATCAGTATACGATGTTACGCTTATTATTCCAGTCTTTTTTCATGTTGAAAACTTAGTGGAAATAGGTTCACCATTTTTTTTGGTTAATTTTTCATATTAAAAAAAAATAGTTTCTGTGTTTTAGGTGATAAATTAGATACTGTGAATGCAAATAAGACAGACATTTCTCAAGAAACCACTAAGTAGTATTCAACTATCTACTTAAATAAATGATAGCAAATTAAGAATAGTAGGTGTAAGAAGGTGACTACCTTTGTCTATGGGGTTGAAGACTTCACAGAGGAGCTAATCTCGAAGGATCATTAAGTTTTATTAGATGTTTTAACAGAAGGAAAGAGTAGTAATTTTCTGCTTCTTTCTTTTGGAATGTTGGTGTTCTCATTGATCAAACCTTGGATTCACTTCTTTTCCTAAACTCTTCCCTGAAGAAATCTCATTCTTTTCCTTGGAATTAAGTACCTTCTATATGTTGCTGATAACCATATTTGTATTTTTAGTCCAAACATCTTTTTTAAGGTTTAGAATTAAATATCCACTGCCAATTTTACATCTTCACTTCCATTTCTCACAAATATCTCAAAACCGAATATATCCAAAATTGAATTATTAATATCCCCATGACCACCTATTGCCTACTGCTTCTCCCCTATTTTCTGTCTTCTCTTGGAAAATGGTTCTATCACCTTCTAATTGCTCAAGCCGGAAACCTGGGAATTATCATGACACACTCCTTTGTCTCTTAGCGTCTAGTACATCAGCATATTTTGTCAAATTGTATCTCTAGAATATATCTTGGCTTCATTCACTTCTCATAATCTTCACTGTTATCACTCTCATCCAATCTGCTGTCATCTCTAGATTTGAATAGCTTTTTACTTTCTTCCCTCTTGCCCTCCTATAACCCATATTGCAGTCAAATTGGTTTAATTCCTGTGCTTAAAATCCTCACTGTCTGCACATTGCTTTATTTGAAAGTAAAATTTAAATAGTTTTTCAGATTTTAGTCTTGAATTAGTTGGTGGATGGTGATAACCACTATGAGAGATAGAGACATGAAAAGACTTTTAGAGGAAATGATGTATTTTGAGGTACTTGTGGACATTGAGGTAGCGATGTTATAGTGTTGTAGTTGCCAAATGGAAGCTGGTATGTTTCTTCTTGTTCAGTACAATGTCTTGCGTACGTGCTATGGATTCAGTATCTTGTGAGGAGGTTGAGTATGAAGTACTCACCTTTCAAATAAAGAAAACCTGGTGCTGAAAATTTTATTTGTACATATGCTGATTCTGCAATTTTTAAAAGATAGATTTACATTTGCTAGGATGCTTATATTATTTTCTGTCTGAGAAGATAGTAGTATAACTAGAATTGTTCATATTTTCCATTTCTGTGACTAGTATACAATGTTATAGATATCCTAGTCCTTAACTTTTTTTTTTTAACAAAACTTTAGGTCATAACATACAAACAGAAAAGTTCTATACATTTATGTACAGAATAACAAAGAATTAAAAAGAGCTAGTATTCCCCACATAAGCCAAGAAATAGGACCATGTCAGTGTCTGATAAGCTGCCTGTGTGTTCCTTTTCTATCACTCTCTCCTCCCCTATCACTAAAGGAAACTGTTATTCTGAGATTTGTAGTAATCACTTTATTGCTTTTGTATTAACATTTACACATCTTTCAATTATGCAAGCAAATATTTTTTTTTTAGAAAATAATAAAATTCTGTTAATTTAACTTAATATCACATGTACTTTAAAAATGTGTTCATTCATTCACTCAATAATGTTTTCATTAATTCCTTGCATGCTTTTAGGTAGCTGTGTTCATATGTTTGTTTCTCATTGCAAGTCTGTATTCACTTACAGTATAATGATAGTGATGCGATAATAGCTAATATTTATTGAAGGGTTTTAAATGGTGTAACGTGCTGTTTCTAAGTGTTTACATGTATTAGCTTATTTATTCCTCCTAGCAACCCTGTAAGATAGATAACATTATCCCCATTTTACAGGTGAGGAAACAGCCAGTCCTTATAGGTTAAGTAACTCGGCCAAGATCACACACCTGTTAGTGGAATTGAACCCAGCTAGTCTAATTATACATTCTACATTAATAACTACTATGTTTAGATTTTCTTCTTTCTTGGATTACTTGAAACAAAAAATTTGTAGAAATTTTTGTAGTTCAGAATCTTAAGAAAAGTATTTTGAATTCTCACAAGAGCTTAATTTTAAATACTTTAAAGAAATATTTTATCTAAAATTCTTGATTTGTTGTGACTTGTTGTTTATTTGTTTTTATAGTCCAAGTTATCAAAAAGTGTCCTAAATTTTATCTGAATATCTAAGTGCATATGAAACTAATAATTTCACAAAGTTTGTAGTAAATTTTGAAACTTTGAAAACATTCGATTGGTGTGTTTTAAGTAAGTTCATGGTAGTATTCTAATTAATGTAATAGCTAGTAAATGCAGTAAGAAACTAGTAAAAGAAGTAAGAAAAAGAAAAATGTAATATTACTTTACCCACATAAAATGGCATATAAAAATTCAATGAATGCATTACCTTTACTACTACTTGATATTGATAAGCATCTCTGACAATCATCATGTTTTCGTTATGCTACTTGAAAGCACTCAAATGTTTTAAAAACTAAATCAAAGTATTTCTTATTTAATTCGAAATGTTTGTCATTGTTATAACTACTACCTATTTGTCTTTTTTATTTAGGGAGTTATTGCACATATGTTCATGGGCAAAGTAGATAGCTGAAAATGTAATCTACAACAGAGAGATTTTAGAGAATTGAAACAATTCGTTATTGGATAGAGGAAAAGCATGAGAGAGAGACATTGCCCTTTTGAATCTGGATGTTCTGGATTAACGCCAATAGGAGAGTATTGGTGTTAATTTAGGAGAATGCTGAAATAGAAGGATTCTTGATTCCTACATTTTTTAAGGATTAACTTTCCTATTTTTGTTTGAGTAAACAAAATGGCTTAAGAATTAAAAACTATCATATTCTTTATAATTGTGGATTATGTATTAAAACCAAATCTCTAATGTAAAGAGTGTACGTAGTAGATAAGGAGAAATACCCGTCGGTAGAGCCAAGATTTTTGTTTTCAGAAGACAGCCTTGTTTCCCTTCAATATGTGGACAGGTAAGAGATTGAAGAACTTGGATTCTGCAACATGGAGGAGGGCCATGATAATTTTACTCTGGAAAGAGTTCAAAGACGTTAATACCTATTGTTCATGTCCATGGTCCTAATTATAAAACTCTCAAGGTACCCTGTGAATGTGTCATTTTAAACAATCTAATTTTCAGTGAAACTTGTAAGATAAAACAGTAGTAAAATGCGACTTCTTCCAGAGTTTCCCTTCCCTAGTCAACATAATAGTATTGGGTGTAGAATTATTGGATGTAAGCAATTAGATTTTAGAGAATAATTTTCTGAGAATGACCATTTCAATTTTGTAGCACTTTTTTATAATATTAAATAAATAACAAGAATTTTTTTTTTGAATCAGTTGTTTTTTGGTGGTAATATCTTCTCATCCCTACTGAGAAAATTACAGATTGGCATGGTTCTGTGTATGTAGCTGAAGGAGAATTGGTTTTAAGGCATTACGCTATAAGCTGAAAAGATGAGAGCAGAGTAATATTAAAATATATACTTTTTATAAGTGATTAATGCTTAAAATATTAATATAAAATTTGGCTTCTTGAAGGTTCTGCAAATCAACAAGATGTTTCTTCAGGAAAAAGTGAAGATTTGGGCATAGTTCAGGAGAAATCTACCAAAAGCCTTGTTATTGGTCCTCTTGATTTTCGCTTGGATAGCAGTGCGGTACATAGAATTTTGAAAATGATTGTTTGTGCCTTGGAACACGAATATGAACCATATAGCAGGCTAAAACCAGGTTCGTTTTTGGCTTAATTTTGAATCTCTTGCCAGTTATTTGAGTGCTTATATAATTTGCTTTGTTGTACTTTGCTGACTTACCTTTTTAGTATATTTTGCTTACCTGACTTGAATGTATTTAGTTGTTAATTTCAAGAACAAAATTGTATGTGGAAATTATGGGAGAGGTCAAGATTTGGAAGTTATTTGCAGAAGTACTTATTTGTCAGTATTTGTCAGTATTTTATTGTCAACTTTTTGATACTCTTTCCAGTGAATACTCTTGAAATATGACCATTTTTTCCATGTTAGTATATTCTAAAGAGCAGACATGAAAATAGCTCTAAATATACAAATTTAACATTCATGAAAATTTAGATCTTACTGGTACAAAAGAATTTGCTATACAGTGATATGAAGATAGGGTTATGACAGTTTTATAAAATAAAAATTTCTTTTTTTATGTAATAAATCACTGCAGAGTAGGATATAATAGTACAATAAGGGAGTAAAGGATAGTAAAGAACTGAGCCTTTGGGTTTAGACTGTGGTTTGACTTCTGACTCCCACTTATTGACCTTAGGAAATTTAATTAACACCGCTGATTTTTCATTTTTCTTTATTTATAATTAGTTAAATTATTATGACAAAGGTGGTTAAGTTGTCTTCCCGGTATCTATTCTCCTATTATTTTTTAGTAACAGAAATTTCTATGGTAGAAATATTTATGATAAAAATAAACGCTCCAAATAGACTAGATTCTGGCTATGGGGACAGGTGCAGGACCTCCTGAGAATTCTTGGGCTATGACTTTAGAAGGAAGAGAGCATTCCATACTTTTTTTTTCTTTTCCTTTTGTCTGCAAAAAAATTATAATGGCAAGGGCTGGAGCTGCCATCTTGGACCCTGAGATAAAAGCTGCATTCCAAGTACACAGAGCAATAAAATAGAAAGAAACTACATCTCCATAGAGTGGTAGCACCACGTCAGCTCTGGATCCTTTAGACCCAGACTGTTACGTGAAAGAGAAATAAGCTTCTGGTTTTGTTGAAGCTTCTGTTATTTTACTTTTATCATAGCATATTGTTATCCTAAAGGATACACTAATAGGACTTCCAAAGATTAGTGCATTCGAAAGCACATAGCAGTGGGCCTAGTGCATAGTAAGTGCTCGATATATTCATGCATTTGTTTTTTTGCACCTCGCTTGAATGCCTGATCCATGCCAGGCACTCTTATAAGTGCTAGGACGGTATGTACAGGCCAAAATAAAAAACAACGATACCACCAAATGTTGCAGAGGGTATGAAGAAACTGGATCACTTATTCATTGCTGGTGGGAATGTAAAATGGTACAGCCACTTCTGAAAACAGTTTGGGAGTTTCTTTTAAAACTAAATATACATCTACTGTGTAGTCTAGTAACTGCACTTCTGGGTATTTATCTCAGAGAAATAAATTCCTTCTATCTTGTTATTCTAACATCATCTGGGATATACTTTATCCACATGATCAGTGTTGGCTCACCGTTACAATGTAAATTTAATCAGTAGGAAGTAGAGGCAAGAGCAAATGGTAAGTACATAGTTTTATCTAATGACATGGCTCTGTGATCCCATTGACCAAAACTTAGTAACATGTTGCTACACATGGCAGCAAGAGAGGCTGAAAAATACAGTTTCTAGAAGTCCATATACCTGACTCAAATTCAGAGGGTTTTTTTTTTTTTTTTTCCTAGAAGAAAGGAGATTGAAATTAGCAATCTCTTCTACCGTGGTTATCCCCAA